AATGGGAACAACACTAAATCTGTGGCTACAGTGGGATTGAGTTGTAGTTCAATCTAATCCATTTCTAGTCGTTGGTCCAATAATCGAATACCGAGATTTTAAGGATATCTGAGGTTGACACTACTTATGTACCTCGGCCTTGATGAGATAATGGATAATGAAAGGATTGGATTGCACAGTAACCATATCGTTGATAGATAAGCTGTTTCGCTGAATCCGAATCTATCGGGTGGCCATGATGCCTTGCTAGAGGTCAATCTTGGTTTGTGTTTAGTGAGACAGTTGATTGGGTGTCAATTGCAGTATTGCTCACTACCGATATGATGAGAAACCTTGGGCTCACACACATAGAAGACAGATTAAGGATAAACAAGTAAGAGGAGTATTTTCGTCATTTAAGAGGAAATGACATTTTGATAATCTCACAATACAATTAAATTTGCTGATATTAATTTGATATGGAAATTAAAATTAGTGAGATTGTGTGTGTGTGTGTGTGTGTGTGTATTTGAATTTGAATTTAAAATATGCCATGTGGAATTACCTTGTGATGGTAATTGAATATATTGATTTAATCTATTATGGAATATATTAATTCAAATTCCATAATAGATTAGGGTTTTAGATTTGCACTATTTAAATGCAAAATAAAAATTACATAACACTAATATTCTAAAAGACCCTAGCCATACACTCTCTATCTCTCTCTCACTCTCCCAAGCCATGGTCGCCCATTGTTGTGGAGGAGAATCCTTGAACCTTGCGGTTTTGACTAGCACTTCGAATGCTAGATGATCGTCGTCTTGTCTTCGTGTGGATACCGGGAGTTTACTCTCGTCTCAGAGTGGGAGCGATTTGCATCAAAGAAAAAGCCTCCAAACGGTGGTATAAAACCTTGAACGTTTTTATTTAGTATCGGTTTATATGCTAATAATGTAAAAATTGTGTGTAAGGATCTAGGGCTTATGGTTGTTGTTGGGGATCTTTTAATTTCCGCTGCGTAAAACTCCATACAACAACTAACACATTGAAAAGGGAAAAATCGTAGTTGAGAAGATACCTACAGCAGAGAATCCAACAGATATGATGACCAAACCAATTCCAATAGCTAAGTTCAAGCTTTGCTTGGACACTATTGGATGTTTCAGATAAGCTATAGTATCGAGGAGAGGCAAGAGAGGATAATATGTAATGATTGTAGGAATTCAAGCCAAGGTGGAGAATTGTGAGGGTGTCTTGAATTCTCCATTGGGAAGACACCTGGAGGCTTTAAGCGATGACCAAACTTCTTGATGGCAGCTGGACTCTTGGATGATTGTTGGCTCGGTTTGGTAAAGCAATTTGGAAGACTCTTATAAGCTAGAAATCTGGTAGCTTGAAAGGAATACACCTTTTAGCTATCTTCTTGTTGGCAGCTTGAGAGAAAAATGTTTGGAGCGGTTGAAGGCAGCTGAAGCTATCTTTAGTGGTGACTAAGCTTGAGAGGAAGATAGCTAGAGTGGTGGTCGACTGAAAAATCTCTATACAAGGGCAGCATAAGCTGCGGAGATGAGATGTGAAAATATGAGTAAGTTAGAGTGATTTTGAGAGGAAAAATCAAAATACCAAGTCTCATATTTGTATCCGTAGGAGAGTGTTGCGAGAGAGGAGAAAATTGTATTATCCCAATTACAAAGTGAATGGTTTTTTCCCGCAAGGGTTTCCACGTAAATCTTGTGTCAAATATTTTATATCTCTACAGCTTTACGTTTTTTTGGCATTTTTCAATACAATACAAATAATATTGCCATGCCATATTATCCCAATACAGACTTTCACATGGAGAGAAATGAATACGAAAAGGAAGATTTAGATTTATTGGAAATTTTCTTTTAGATAAGTGGTAATTTTATAAAAGAATAAAGAATACAACCCAAAGAAGGAAACTCTCCTTTAGAGCCAAGCAGTGCACCTTGAACAGACCCAAGGGACCAAAATATACAATAGCAACAAAAGGGAAAAAGGATATACAATTCCTATGAACGAAAATACTAACCTTTAGACAAAGAAGATCAGCAAAAACCAATGGAAAAATAGGCACAAAAAAAAAAACCCTCCTAGTACCATATGGGCCCCGAAAAGGTAGCACTGTACACCCCACCAAAAATCAAGCAGATCTCCTATGGCGGAAATTTAGAGTGTCTCAGGTAGAGAGAATAATTTGTAGCACCAAAAGGAAGAGTCGATCTAGGCCTTTTGTCTAAACATATCCAATTATCTTTAAAAGCAAATTTAATTTCAATTTCAAATTTTTTTTTTTTTCTAATTTGTGAACTTGTCAAATTTGACTCCAAAGTATAAGGTACACGCAATGTAGCTCAATTACCCTCAATCATTAAAAAACACAATTCCGGTATAGGTGTTATATGTAAAATATTACCCAACTTTCACACCTTTTCTATAGTTTTAGCTTTACTTCGATTCAAGTTGCTTTATTCATGCATAACTCAAGTCTTTGCTAGCCATGACCCACAAGAAATTTCGCATGTCAATAATATTACCACCCACAACCTTTTTATACAAACTTATATGACAAAAGATGATTGGATGAAAGTTTATTTAAAATTTAAAATCACCCAATCATCTTTTGCCACATGAGTTTGTGAAAGAAAGTTTGTATAAAAAAGTTGTGTATGCATATTTCTAAAGCCCCCACATTCTCACTATGTACCCTGTTGTGATTCCAGGTGGGTCACTTAACCATTTAATTATTGGTCGTTTGATCGTTTCGTCAACCACTAACCTTCATTTCACTTATCCTTTTTATTTTAATTTAAGTTGACATAAAGATTTATTTATATAAATAGGGCAATATTACACTTACAACTCAATCTTACAAGTTTTCTCTTATAACTCATATATGGTAGTTCGCAATTGGTCAGCTTGCAATAGGTTTGGCATACTCAATTATGAACTACCACGTCAGAGTTATAAGAGAATATTTGTAAAATTGAATTGTGAGCCAATCTTTATTAATATAAATATTTTGACGAATTTGAAAATAACAAAATGGGAGTGTAACAATCTTTAATACTATAAAATTGTGTGCCCATATGAACTATTTATAACATGAAAATTTTAGGTCGATAAGATAAAAAGAGGAGCAACAAAAATCTCAAAACTTATACAATGGATAATATAAAATGGGAAAACAAAAAATATGATAATCGTCAAACTCCCATAAAATTGAAAGTGTACTCTAAACCGAACAAGATTTCCAAGTTATCGATTTTTCCTGTTTGGTTCGGTTCGATTACTGGTTCCAATTCAAGTATCAGATATTTTTTAACACCCCTATTTATAAGTATCGGGGCCGTCTTAGAGATTTTGCTTTAATTATTTTTAATTTCACCTAATGGAGGATAATTAACAATAAAATTTAATTATAAAGACCTCCCTTGAGGTTTCAACATATCACAAATCCATAAAGAAAAATATCATTAGCTTAATACAAACACCCCAACTCCTTTAACTTCGGGGGCTTCATTAAAGAAATTTTACAAAGTAAAAATTTAAAAACTGAAAAAATTAAAATATATATTTTTTTAAATTGAAAATTAAATTTTAAACAATAATTTAAAAAAAAATAAGATCATCTGTTTCAACGATCTAAGAATAGTGGTTCCGACAATCTCTAATTGTTGGACACCTCTTTTGGGAAAAAAAAAAAAAAGTATTTTTTTAAATAATATTAAATATTAAATATATTTTATTTTAAAAATTGTTTTCTAAATATTTTTTTCTATTTTGAAATATTTAATTTATAATTTTGTGCTTTAACATAAAAGGTCTACTTTTCCCTTCCCTCAGTCAACTTTCACGCCAAAAATTAATGGTAAAGGATGCAAGGGGTTTATTATATGGGGTAACATGTTCGTTTGTATGTTGGAGGGCATATAAGGGAAATAACCTTAACAAAAGTTAAAGGATCGAGGCAATTGTGTTAACCTAATAATCTTTTCTACGTGCCTATAAAATACTGAAATCTCAGGGGAAGTCTAGTAATTACAATAATTAGAAAAAGAGTAATACTACACCTACAATATTTTTATACAACATAATGTGGTAAAAAATTATTGAGTAAAAGTTTATTTTTAATTTAAAATCAGTCAATCATCTTCTGTCACATCATGTTGTATAAAAATATTGTATGTGTAATATTATTATGCAAATAAAATTAACCCAACCTAAATGTACATTTGCTTGTACTTATTGCTTCTATCTCTTTCATTGTTTGACATTGCTTCACATTGTTATATAACACAATTTAATGTTCTCGTCGATTGTCTAATTTGTCAAATAGCATGCTAAAAATGATTAATTGATTTTAAATAAAAAATAAAAATAATACTACAAATACAATATTTTTATACAATATGATGTGACAAAATGCCACAACACTTATTGCAAAGTATTAAATACCTTTAAAATTACCAAAGCAACCCTAAAAATTATCAGAAAATTGAATAAAAAATATCAAAAACCTCTTACAGATATTAAAAATCCCTTGCAAATATCAAAACCCTTTGTATCTGGAGGCATTTAATAGTTTCTAATAATCATTTGAACGTTTTTAAATTAAGCATCAATAATATTATACTTACATAAATTTTCATACAAAATGAGGTGACAAAAAATGAATGGAATAGTGAAACAAAAAGTCAAACTCATTATATTTACTCTTTCATTCATTTTTTTAATCACATCACTATATTTGTAAATCTTTGTAAAATTTCTTTATAAATATAGCATTACTCATAAACGTATGAAATCAATCCGATTTAAGTTGATTTAACTCAAACCATTATTTATTTTAACCCATGCATCTTTAGGAAAAATTAGGATTGGGCCGGCCCAGCCCAGCCCAACAAGTCTATAGTAACATTAGAATCGGCCCAGCCCAGCCCAACTCCTTTCGCGACCTTGATGCCATAAACCTTTGAAAACTCACAGAAGAGACCCTCAAAGTCAGAGATGGAAACAGTAACAGGGAAGTTGGTAGTTGAGAAAGTGAGAGGGAAATCAACTGTCACAAGATGCTTCTCTAAATACCCTCTTAAATTCATCATCCCCAATAAGGTTTTAAGCTTTTCTCTCTTCTTGTTCTCTCAATGTATTTATTATTTATTTAATTACATTTCTGGCCCGGTAACGTTACTGGTTCATTGCAGGTGGGTTCTTCGGAAACTGATGCGGTTTGGATTTATACTCTCACTTATGGTGGTGGGATTGTTTCTGTATGTTGCATTTCTTACTCTTTTGCTTTGTTTGTGAATTGTAGCTCTTCAAGTTTTGATTTTTTTTTTTTTTAATAAATATGTGTTTTTGTTGTTAGGGAGATTCTATTTCTTGTGAATTTAGTATTGGAGATGCCTGCACTGTTGTTTTAACTACCCAAGCTTCCACCAAGGTGTATAAGTCTCTGGGGTCTAAGTGTTCTGAGCAAATCATGGAGGTAAAATTCTTGTCTAGAATGCCATTGGAAATGCTTCTGTAGAAAGCACTTTGACTGATTTTAAGTAAATAAAAAGTAATTCAATGCTTTCTTACGAGAAAAGTGCTTTTCTTTTAGTTGTTTTGATGAAAACCAACAGGTATCAAGGTTTTTTTTGTTTTTCTTTCAGAAGACACTTAACCTATTGCTATGAAATTAGCACAAAAGCGCTTTTAATGGTGTCAAAAGTGCTCCAAAACACAATCTATCTCATTTTTTGTCAATCTTTGTTATGACTCTGGGGTCTAAGTGTTCTGAGCAAATCTTGGGGGTAAATTCTTGGCTAGAATGCCATTGGAAGTGCTTTTGTAGAAAGCAATTTGACTGATTCTAAGTAAATGAAAAGTACTTCAAGTGCTTTTCTTATGAGAAAAGTGTTTTCCTTCTAGTTTGTTCATGAAAAAAACAGCTATCAAGTTTTTTTTCAGAAGATACTTAGCCTATTACAGTGAAATTGGCAAAAAGCGCTTTTAATGGCATCAAAATTGCTCCAAAACAGAATGTATCTCATTATTTTTCAGTCCTTATTAAGACACTGCCTAGTGCTCAAGCCTTGGTTGTATCTTGTTTTTGGCTGCGTTAATTGATTGTTATGTCTTTCTTACTAATGCTTGCAGTTTAGTGCATTGATGTAAAGCAAGAAGTAAGACTTGTAATTCGATGTTTTGTAGACGCAGTCATAATAAAGTTAATGATTTATGAATTTATATTTGGTATGGTGAATGGTTTGAAGTGACAGCGGGTTTATCGTTGCCATGCAGTAGGCAAGAGTTGGAAGTGGTGCCCTTTTAGCTGTGATTCCGGATCCTGTGACATGTTTTTCCACTGCAAGATATTCTCAGAAACAAATCTTCAGAGTGGTTTCAGACTCAAATTTGGTTATTGTCGATTGGATTACCAGTGGACGCCATGAAAGTGGCGAGAAATGGGATTTTCAACTATATAAGAGCACCAACAACATATTTGTAGATGGCGATCTGCCTTTGTTTCTCGATACGGTAATTTTTCTCTCTATTATTATTGTTTCAATTTTCACATGGAAAATTTTCAGATATCCTCATCACTTGCAACTTATCGGTTTCATTGTCAGTTAATAAATGTGCATGCCTTAGTCTCTTGAGTTTCTTAGATATTGAAGTGGGAACATTTTATGTTTGTAGATAACTTGCGGGAGCTTATCATCCCAAAAGTTGAGACACGGAACTTCCTCTTGGAAGCATTACTATACAGATTGTTTTGTTAACCATTTTTTGCTTGACTATACCTCAACAGTTCCATAACAATAAACTTGTCATCAGTTAGCAGCCATCATTTGTTCTTCTTTATTTTAGTGAATGATAACAATTCCATTTATGGTTCTAACTTTCTGATAACGTCTACAATACGTTTTGTTTCTGAAATTTCCCGAAACTGTCCAGTTTCAATTTACATCCAGCCGTGCATATTGTTTATTTCTGGTTCTCTAATGGCATGTTACTTCTACTCCTGTGTCTACAATACTCTATTTGTAATCTCTTATGTGTAGTAGCTGGTATAATGATATATTGTGATTTATGTAGCTGAATCTGAACTGTTGGGCAAGAGACATATCTTAGCTTAGTGCTGTTTGTGGTAGGCATGGGAGAGATTTGATGCCAAGCTCATAACATGAAATTTCATTTGCTGTTCATTGGCACCTTTTTTGTTAAAATTTGAAGAACCTAGATATGATAGAACATATACAAACTCAGATTATATAATATTTTCATTTATTTTTAACTTCCATGGTAAATTATTGACCATTTTTTTCTTAAAAAATAGTATTACAAAAGTTTCAGCCACATGCATTGAAGGTTGTAGACTCATACATCTTCATATATTTCAGTGTCACAATTAGTTAATTGCTTTGTTACAGGTACTGCTAGAACAAGGAGGCATTACCAACATTGCAGAACGCATGCGAGATTACCAGGTCATTGCAATGGTCATACTTTTGGGGTAGATACTTCATCATGTACAATAACTTATCTCCACCTTGATGATTTTACAAATTTTCAATGTGGTTTTGTTAATTTCGTTATGATGAAAAGCTATTTTAGAAATTGAAATTAACCGATCAAAGTGATTGATGCATTATAGGCCAAAGCTGAAGCATATTCAAAATCAAGTTCAAGAAAATGTGAAGAGGTTGATGTCTGAGCAATTATACGCTCCTTCCATTGGATTGAGCCATCATGGGAAAACAAACTCTGATCATCGTTTGGCCAAACCAACCTTTATTGCTTCTTGTAGTGTCTTTGGTCCTAAGGTATGTTTGACCAATTTCATGGATTGCAATAGTTTCTGAATTTTATCCTAACTGAGACAATTTACACCTGTCTATTAGTGAGTAATATGATTTCATCTTATATGCTCTCTCCTGTGTGTATATATGAGTGTATGTCTCATGATTTTTTGACATTTTTGTATTAAATGTTGATGTACAATGTGAAGTATTGATGGATTGTTTCTCTTTTTTTTTTCATTGAAGGAAAATTGGATAACCTGTTAATCATATTATCATATACCATAGATTTATCATAATATACGGGATTTGCTCCTTTAGGGCAAGAAATTGTCTTTTTTCAAAGGGGTTTGGGAATCAGTAGATATGAAAGCATCACTTCAATTATCTGGAACACTATTGTTATGTCATCGTAACATGCTTCAAGGTTCCATTAAATTCTCTGTGTCTGCAGGGAATAGGTATTGTTGTTCGAATAGCTGCCATGACAACTGAATCAGTATACAGGTTCCTGCAGCATCAGTTATCTGGCATGGAGCCACTACTCGGCGTATCCCCGTATTGTTGAAAAGGGGCTATGATAATTATTCATCTCGTTGAAGTTATTGTAAGTATCAAATGAAGTAGCTTCTTTACTTTTATTAGGAACTTGAAGAAATTATGCTCCAAAATATGTATTGCAAAACCATTTTAGATGCTGAAGTTTGCAAAATTTTACAGGAACATGGAGGCTTTTTCCTGATGTGCTATCGTCGCATCAATCGGTTTCGAGAACAGGGTGGTAATAAACCAGTGGAGGACATAACTTAAGGTTTGTAGCTCTTGCTATTTCTTTTGTGGGAAATAAAAAAAATTAACCTTATGGACGTCTATCATGAAAGTAAGAGCTAAATTGAACTCATTGTATACATTTTTTTTTTTTTTTTATGGAGATTGCTGTATGAAATATACTGTTCTTTTACAAAATTTGGAAGACACTTAATGGAACCCATTTTACGGTCAAAATAAATGGTTTTGCAGTCGTTTGAAAATTGCTACTTGAATTGCTTTAAAAAAATCTTGGAAGCAATGGGTGTAACACATGCTCTAATTAGAGTAATGCTACGTTTACAACCGTTTTCTCACAACCCTGACGTAACAGCTTGTAATTGGCTAGTTTGTAATAAATCACACCTAATAAAATTGTAGTTGACTAATTGCAAGCTACCACGTCAAGGTTGTAAGAGAAAGGTTGTAAATATAGCATTACTCCTCTAATTATACGTTAAACGGATAAGTTTGTGCTATGTATACATTATGCTCATGACTATATGTGGCAAAGCTTTTTCATTGACTTGGTATATAAATGATGTGATACGTGCATTATACGTGACATGCAATCGATTTTCTCGATTTGTTTGCTTTTGTAGAATATTTTTTTTCAACAATTATAATTTATTTACCCAACCCCACTGTCACCGGCCCAAACAAACATAACTCTGATACCATGATAAATGGATTTGAATAAAACTTGCTCTCAAAAGCTAGCTAGGAGAGAGTTTAACCACACACACATATATATACACGCCATGAGAACCTATCAAATTGACAATATGGAACAAATACAACTTCTAACATCCGTAAATAATATTTTCACCTATTAGATTATGGGAAGAAACTTAATTTCATAAATGAGATAATTAAACCAATTTAAATAAAATTTAATATTAATTCATCTCATGCATCTTCCCAATAAATCGAATTTGATGACAAGAAATACAAAATCTTGTTCAAAACAAGTAGTGCATAAATGTATGTAGATAAATAAAGGTACTAATTACAATGCTATTTGGTTGTTAATTTCCAAAAGATAAATTTGTACTTTAAATTATACTACAAGAACTAGGTTCATTTAAATGGGTTTGATTATTTATCGAATTTAAAAAAAAAAAAAAAAAATACTCAGTTTTTTGAACACCTTTTCTTTCTCTTATGGATCCAACATCAATTAACGCATTTGAGAAATAGTCTATATATATAACATACCCCTTAGAAACATATAAGAGATTTTATCTTTCGAGAGAAAATGAAGATAAAAAAAAAAAGATTAAGATGTTCATGGAAACTCATCCTTGGGTAACTCAAATGGTAGGACGAATGTTGTGATGTATGGTTAAGATGCACGATCTCAGGTTTGAATCCCCTGATTTCCAAAATTTAAGTGGGTGATTATGACGGTAATATGCTATGCTAGTTATCTACATAAACTAGTCGAGGTACGTATAAACTGACTCAGACAACTAGTTTAAAAAAAAAAATGTTCATAGAAGAAAATGATTAGTAAATATGTGATATGTATTAAAATAAAATTGAAATGAGAGGAGATTCGAATTTCCTTAAATTAAGAGTTAAAAAGTAAAATATTAACATCAATGTTTGGGACTAAAAATAAAATATTTGAACTTAAAAACAACAAGAGTGTAGATTCAAAGCATACACATTAAAATAAAGATTGAAGCATGTTCTAAATTTTGGCTTTGCATAGAATTTAGCAAACCAAGATGAAGTTTTAAGTTTGAAGAATATATGCATGGCACATGACCTCCTAGTCAAAATGTTTGACCTGATTTTACTTAATAATTAAAGTAGTATTAGATTAAATTAAATTAATATATACACTAATCATGTTTTAACCAAATTATTAAAATAATCCATGTGATTAAGAAAGTACTTAATGATTGAATTGTTCAAAAACTCTCTTATGACCTTTTACATGTTGCCACATCCAAGACCCACCTCCCTCTTATAGAATCCATTTATCCTCAAATAATTTTTTTTTAAGAAAGTGTTAGATATAACGAGTGTATCATATTATTTATATGTCCGTCTTATAATAGACGATACATAAATAATGTGGTATATTTATCTCGTTTAAGGTTTTTTTTTTTTTTTTTTTTTTTGGTTCATACTTGGATTTATACTTCAATAAGTAGATATATGTTTTACGTTTGGCTCGAGTTTTATCTAGTGATATATTGGTTATTGCTGATCCAATGTTTTTACGATATTGTTGTTAGGTTTATCAACTGAAAAAACCTATTTCTTATTTAAAGAATTTCATGTATTATATACTTGCTTATGAACTTTATAATAGTGGTTCGATGTGAGAGTCTCACCGACGGTTTGTTTTTATATACCTACTGGTTACAACTTAGCCCCAACTAGACATAGATAATAACTTCTTATGTTTTTTATATTAGCAAAACTCTATCAAAACAATATATTCTCTGTTTTTGACCTAGGATATGATCTTTTAACTTAAATTTGGTACACAAATTTTCAGTCGTGGATCCAATACAATCCAATGGTGTAAAATTTTTTGATGTGGCAAACAAAATAACTACTTCCGAACTTTTTCTTCCATTAAATTGAAAAATATTCATGACCGAAAATAGTATCTCAATTTAAGTCAAAAAATCAAGTTAAGAGATCTTGTTCCCCTAGATCCAGGTATTCTCAAAATCTAGTTTTCGGGTTTCTCAACCTATAAAATCTCTTGCTTATAAAGAATAAACCATTAGTCTTGTGGCCAAACGACAAGACTTTAGCCATTTGAGTGGATTATTCAGAGATCTTCTGTTCAAGTCTCACAAAGTGGTCACCTACCATATTTGTGATTTACTTAATCTATTAGACTTGTAGAGTGTTTAATGAACCATATAGATTAGTTGAAATATGCACAAATTGGCCCGAACACCCGGTTATCAAAAAAAAATCATGGAACTTGCAAGAAATTATGCTCCAAAATATGTATTGCAAAACCATTTTAGATGCTGAAGTTTGCAAAATTTTACAGGAACATGGAGGCTTTTTCCTGATGTGCTATTTCGCATCAATCAGTTTCCAGAACAGGGTGGTAATAAACCAGTGGAGGACTTAACTCAAGGTTTGTAGCTCTTGCTATTTCTTATGTGGGAAAGAAAAAAAAAATTAACCTTATCGACGACTATCATGAATGTAGGAGCTAAAATTGAACTCATTGTATACATATTATTATTATTATTATTATTATTATTTTAATGGAGATTGCTGTATTAAATCTACTGTTTGCTGGAACCCATTTTACAGTCAAAATAAATGGTTTTGCAGTCGTTTTAAAATTGCTACTTGAATTGCTTTAAAAAAAATCTTAGAAGCAATGGGCGTAACACATTTATTCTCATGAATATTGTATGGCAAAGCTTTTTCATTGACTCGTCATATAAATGATGTGATACTGTATTACACGTGATATGCAATCGATTTTCTCGGTCTGTTTGCTTTTGTAAAATAATGTTTTCAATATTATAATTTATTTACCCAAGCCTATCATCGGGCGGTCCAAATAAACATGATTTTGATACTATGATAAACAGGTTTAAATATAATTCACTCTCAAAAGTTAGTTTAAGAGAGGATGGAGTCTAACTACATATTTACATTATAATAATCTATCAAATCGACAATGTGAGATAAATATAACTTTTAACATCTATAAATAAAATTTTCACCTATAAGATTGTGGGAAGAAATTTAAATTTCATAATTGAGATAATTAAACCAATTTAAATAAAATTTAATTGACTGTTTAAATAATTAATATTAATTCATCTCATACATCTTCTCAATAAATCGAATTTGATGACAAGAAATACAAAATCTTGTTCAAACAGGTAGTGCATACATGTATGTAGATAAAGGTACTAGTACTAATTACAATGCTATTGGTCGTTAATTTCCGAAAGATAATCTATACTTTAAATTATACTACAAGAACTAGGCTCATTTACACTTAGTTTACTTCTTTCCAAGTGAACTGAATCTCACTTATTTCAATTTCTCCAAGATTATAAATTAATGCTATGAATATATCATTTAAATCAATAATGTTATTAAACGTTTTTCTAAGGAATAATAAATATTAGAACTTGTACTTTTCGCAAATCGCCAATTTGATAAACTGTTATGGTATATATATGTGATTGTTCTCCCTCCGCTTCTAAGCTAATTTTTGGAAGTGAGTTTTACCCGCGTCCACTTTAAATGGGTTTGATTATTTATCGAATAAAAAAAAAAACTAATTTCTTGAACACCTCTTCCTTCTTTTTTGGATCAAACATCAGTTACAACGATTTGAGAAACAATCTATTGGGATATATACAGATGAACATACCCCATAGAAACATTTAAGAGATTTTCTCTTTAGATCGCTCAAGAGAAAATGAAGATAAAAATAAAAATTAAGATGTTCATGGAAATCCACCTTTGGGTAGCTCAAGTGATAGGAAGAGCGTTGGGATGTATGATTAAGACATACAGTCTCAAGTTCGAATCTCCCTAACTCTCAACATATAAGCGAGTAATCATGGCAGTAAGATATTGTACTAGTCACTTAAGGATTAGTCGAGATATATGCATATTGGTTCAGACACCCTATTTTAAAAAGAAAAATGTTCATGGAAGAAAATGATTAGTATATATATGATATGTATTAAAATAAAATTCAAATGAGAGGAGATACAAATTTCCTTAAATTAGTAAATAAAATATTTGAACTCAACAAGGAGAGTGTAGGTTCATAGCATACACATTAAAATAAAGATTGAAGCATGTTCTAAATTTTGGCTTTGCATAGAATTTAGCAAACCAAGATGAAATTTTAGTTTGAAGAATATATGCATGGCACATGACCTCCTAGTCAAAATGTTTGACCCGATTTTACTTAATAATTAAAGTAGCATTAGATTAAATTAAATTAATATATACACTAATCATGTT